CTCGTGAAGGTCTCTGCACTTAGCGCACCGGCATAAATTTAAGCTACGTTGGATGTGGATGTTTCTGCTTTTTCGGTCAGAGCAAGTGATGCAGTGTATCGAGCGAGGGTTATTGAAAGTTACGTGGTACAAAAGTTACGTGATATAACGTCGAGGTTAACAAGCGAGAAAGTCCACGAAGGATGGTGTGGTTGGTCTGTGGCTCAAGAAAACACAGAAGTTTCACCCACGAGACAAGCTTTTCGTGTCAAAGTACTCATTAACTCTACGTTTTTTAGGTAAAGTTGTTGCGCTTGTTACATACGAAATGTCCGCTAAGGGCGGTTGTTGTTTATTTACGTTAGTTACATTGTTATTTGAGTTTTTTTGTTTTTTTTCAAACTTTAACAGAGAAGTTTTGATGCCCAATCCAAACCAATCATTTGACAATGTTAACCACTTGTCATTATGCGTTTCTGTAAGCTTGAGGCTGATATTATTTGTGAAACCTTTTTTTTTAAAATTTATTTATTTTTATTTTTTATTTTTTTGGTACACAAACATTGAGATTCAACGTATCCCGTGGTTTGCGCAAACATACAATCCCAACATTGTTTCTGGCCACTGGGTAGCATAACTGTAACGCAGGCCTACTGGTTATATAATCAGCAAATGAAAAAGACAGTGTCACATAGCATTTCTTAATGTAACCGTGGCGTTGTTTAATGTCTGGACAGTGGTGGCAATAGCTGTAAAATCACAGTTACTTTGAGTCAACTACTCCATTACTTGAAACCTCTCCGTGGGTTAAAGCTCGGTAAAATGTGGCCCCCAGAATGTTTGAATGCAGTGAGACAGCTAGCACTGCTTTAGGCTACAAGCTGGGGCTATACATCACCTGGTGGAAGCAAACACACACACCTGAGCTGTAGCCTGGAGCCAGCGGCCTGCTCTAACCTGTGGTAATGGATAGGATTTTATAATGGAAGATTCTGCACTGAACACACGCTATAAGTGCTCTGTACTTAAGTTTAACTCTTAACTACTTCTTTAAGGTTTCTTTCGTTGCAAAGCTCCCCTTGTGTCACATTGGATTTCTATGCACAAGATGGGATCGGTCAGAGCCGACTTATTTATTCTGCCATTATTAAGCTTTGTTTACCTTCAGAGTTATGAGCTTCGAGTCACTCTGCTTAAAAAGGTAAGGGCTTGGGGCGAGGCCGGGAACAGAACTACCAGTTTGTCCTCCATCTCAGGGTATGAGTGTGGACAAACAGCTTTTACTTGCTGCTGCTGAAAGCTGAGATTAAGTCACAACCTTTGGTCAAGTGTCGATGTACATAAGTGCTGTGACGATGGGTAGCAATTAAAGCAAAAACAAATAGTGTGACAATGAGTGTGGTGAAGCCAATCACTCAAAAATGATGAGTCACGATGTGAACGTTTCACAATCGAGGAATTTATTTCAACTTACAGACGCAGAAGACACGGGAAGCACATTGCAGTCGTTGTGTTTACTTTGGCCGGGGTAGTGTGTTTCTCTTCCCTTGCATATGTGATATGAATGTTCTTTGAAAGTGTGCGAGAGCGCCGCCTGTTGTCACTCCCTGCCAGTCTGCGATTAGGGATCCCAAAAACACACACGATCCCCACACAAACTCTTCCCAGCCCACCTCGCTGCTCCACTTCCAGCAAAACCCTGAACGGAGGAGGGGGGGGCGGGGGGGGATGAACGCAATTCTCACGGCGTTCAAAATCAATTTGCCACTGTGGCCGACTTGTTTGTTGTGATAAAATTCCCCTGTGGAATAAACACAGATGGGGAGATTAGGATCTACTCAGAAATAAAAATGACTTCAGTCGCAGGAAATGAAATTCCAAATATGCTGCTTATTTTGCGTAGCGTGCCACGCCGATGCAATTAAGATAAGTTGTAAGATCCCCAGGGATGCTGATCGTTGATATTCAAAAAAAAAAAACCTCAGGTAATGAGCCTTTGGAATTAATCTGTGTGACAAGTAGTAGAACGAGAAAATACCCGCGAAACGTTTTACCTTACCAAACAGTAATCACCAAAACAATTTCTACTCACTGGAACCTCAGATGGCTGGGAATTGTGTATGCTGTGTGTGTGTGTGTGTGTGTGTGTGTGTTCAAGAGACAAGGCCCGGAGAGGGGAGGGCCATGTGGGGACAGGAAACGCACTGGTGCACAAAAAACAAACAAACAAGGGCCAAGCATTGGTAATTAAGTCCTCGTTAGTCCTTGTTATGTACAGGAACGCAGCGGAGCGGCAGACAGCACCGCCATTTGTGACTGACCGCGGCCAAATCCTGGAGCGGGTACAGACCCCTGTTCCCTCCAACAGTGGGCGTTTACCCATAAACCCTCTGTGTTTCCACCTCAGCTGGCACGTACAGGGTGATGAGTGTTCTGGATCAATTTTTTGTCGGGCGGGGAGGAGGAGGGCCTCTCGTCCAATGGCTACAGGGCCGGTAGGGAGAGTTTGGCTCTTGGGTGTGCAGCAAACATGCGTTATCAAAGAGTAGCGTGCAGCATGTGCTTTCAGGTGGTCTCAGGGAATCAGGACAGGTGGCTGGACCAAAGACGGAGCAACAAAAAGTGGTCACATGCAAGCTGGAGTTTGTGCGAAAGATAAAGAAGCAGTGGGAGGGAGCAATGAGAGGAGTGAAACTCAAAAAGAAACCAAAAAGATATCAGACAAGAAATTTAGAGCACAGCACCAAATGGAGAAAATCCAGAATGAAAAATACACACACAAAAAAAAAAAAGAGATGAGATTAGGTGAGGTAGAAAGCGACGGACACAGAAAAGAATCAACACGAGCTCAGGGAGGGGAAGGAACAAGGGCTGAACAGTTCTTTTATTTCCCGCTCCCCCTCGGGCGCGCCAAGTCTCATTTACCAGCTCTGTAACTGCATACACCTGACCCAACACACCAGCCAAACATCCACTGGGCGAGTTGCATGCACACACATGCTGTCCACATACACACACCTGGCCCCACTACACCCATCTGCCAACGCGCCGCTTTTGAGTTGGACTCAAAAAAACTGAAGCAGAAGTCAGGACTTTTAAGTTATGCATGGCATTCCTCATGTATTAAGTACACTTTAAAGCAGTCTGAAACATGCTCTCATAATATCAACGAAATAGATAAAGTACAAAACACCTAACGTGACAAATCCAAAGGACTCGTGGGATTTGACGATGCATTGGAAACAGGCACTCTCACTAAAGCAGGAGGAACACTCCCTTCTAGCACATGAAAACCGACTGATTCAATCGAATCGATCCGCGCTGCCTCGCCCACTCGTCCACCTCATTGCAGAGTGAGGTCTTGGCACCTGTTGCGTTTGAACAACAGAGCCTCAGTACCTGGGAAACCAGATAACAACGGTGGTTAAGAGCTCTCGGCGGCTCTGGCTGTGTCAACAATGGCTCCTCTTTTGCTGCCCGGGTACACACTTGCATGCACATGCTCAGATGCACCCACACCCACACACACACGGAAGCATGAAAAATCATGCACAAAGCATACTTGGAGACTATGTCTCCATCTCTCTTTTTTGGGAAGGGGAGGGGGGGGGGGGGGGGGGGGGGGTTGATGGGTTAATTTGAAATGCATCCGTCAAATACAATATGGAACTGCTTTCATCCTGCACGGCAACCACATGATAATCATGCTGCGCGTCAAGAATGCAGGTTGAAGTTATCTCCGACAACCATTTTTTGTGGAGATAAGCGAGTTGTTTCCTGGGTGATTCAGGAGGGTTATCGCTTTTTTTCCTTTTTGAGTGCCAGTGTAGAGTTTTGGCCCTCACAGGTGTGTGATGTGGCAGGTGAACTGGTAAATCCATCCAAAAGCCATATGTCTGTCTGAATTATGACTGGGGGGCGTAAACAGATCTAGACAAAGTCAGTGTCTGAGCCCTCCTCCATTATCCTCTATAGCTCCATTCCCAGACACACCCTTCTTCTTCTTCTCTCGCGCACGCGCACGCGCACGCGCACGCACACACACACACACACACACACACACGAGAAGGAAGAGCCTCACGAGCATGTGTATTACATCTGTTAAGATCCTAACTTCAAAAATCTGATAATATCTAGCATTTTTATACTTCTATTAGTAGAGGTGTGTTTAGAATATCATGAAAAGGTCAGAAAACAGCAAACAGCCCCCCCCCACACACACACACACACACACACACACACAGCATTAATGAACTGAGCTCTACAGGTGCCTTAGTCCTGTTCAACGAGTTTCGGGTGTTCAAAATGTAATGAAGTGCTGCTCGCTTACAGCACATCACGTGCCAGTGCCAAGCAGGAACACATCCGACAGACCCACTGCCGCAGTCAAATCTGAATGCAAATATGACTTTTGACACACACACACACAGTCGAATGAGGCCTCATGAAGTTAATAATTCAAATACGTCCTTTGAAAAAAAGATTTATAACATGCCTAACCCTTAAAGAGGTAGTCCGGTCATTTAGTATTGCATTTTATAAAGTCGGGGGACTCGCCAGAGACGCATTAAAATGAGAATGGTCACAATTGAAAGAGCAGAAGCCTCGTGTGTACCAAGCTCCAAAAGACTGGATCATACATTTCCCATAATGCATCTCTTACATTAGATGCTAGCAAGTTGGCCCCCACACCTGCTGTTTGTATCTTAGACCTTTATTAGCAACAATTACTATGCCCGAGCTGAGACAACCCCAATGACATCACGGAGTTACTTTTTTCAGGCTATTCTTTTGGAGAACCAGATGAGACTATGTGCTATTGTTAACTGCTGAGTAGTGCTCCTTCTGACGAGTAAACTGAACCTAAATCAGTGGATCAGTGCTGATCCCCTTCAATTTTCCAACACTTTAATACAACTTTATTGCATGTATTTGGGCTGTAATAAGCTACTAAAGACTCTTTGTGACATTCAGTGCCACTATGCTTTAGTTTCTCTCTTCCTATCACCGTGTTCCCTCACCTGGAAGATGAGCACTTTAAAGTGGTTCCTCTTCAGCAGGTGGCTGTGGTTCGCCTCCAGCTTCTTCACCTGGACCGCCTGCTTATCCATGCGCTCCCTCACGTCCTTCAGGTGCCCGCTCACTTTGCGGGAGCGCTCGAGCAGCTTGCTGACGCTGTTGGAGGTGCCGATGTGGGTCTTGGACAGGCGGGTCACGTCCCCCTGCACGACTCGCACGGCGCCCTCCAGGTCGGCCTGCCGCTGCTCCATCCGCTGCTGGTTGTCCTGCACCGCCTCCAGCATGTTCACCAGCTTGTCCAGCAGCGCCACCACGGTGATGGCGCTCACCTGGCCGCCGACCGGGCTGCCCGGCGCCACCGCCGCGGTCGGGCTGGTCGGGATTTTTAAGCCCAGCCGGGAGAGGGTGCCGGTCGGGGAGGACGGGGCGGAGGACCGGGTGAAGCTCGGGGTGAGGAGCACCGTGTTTTCGGGCTGCTGCTGCGGGATGGTGTGGACGCTGCTAGGCTCGGCGTGGTCTTCCATGGTTCACAGGTGCTCAAATGTCCCGCTTTAATTGGGTGGGTAATTCACCTGAACACGGAGCAGTTTAGCGGTAGTTTTACTCTCTCGTGACGCAGCTGCCACTTGGTCCAGCTGAGAACTGAAGGCGGGGTGATGTTACCTCTCGGAGTTAATTCGGCGTCCACGCCCCTTTTCTGTCTGTCCCTCTGCCCGCGCGCTCACACAGACACGCTGTGAACTTTCAAAAACACCTCCCCTGCAAGCCAAAGGGAGGGGCGTGGTTGGCACGGAGACGGCGCAGGCCTAGCCCTATTGACAGAATAGAGGTAGGGTTAGTGTGTGTGTGTGTGTGTGTGTGTCCTTTTCTTGTATGCTGGCTTGCTTTGTGTTTTCGTGTGACTGCCAACCATTTCACTTTGTGCATGCCAGGCTGCATTTCCATAAATATGTGTGGAGGCCAGTTTTGTTTACTGCACTCGCTGGTGTGTGTTTTTGTATTGTCTCCCACCAAATTGGTCTGGACTGCATTGTAATCGAGTGGTGTGGATGGTGGTGTGTGTGTGTGTTCTTGTTTGCATGTGACAAAACAACAAAGTGAAGATAAAACTACAATCTAAATCAAAAGGCCATTGTGTCTTGCGTGTTTCACGAACTTAGCAGAACGCTGTAGATACATCACAGACCATATTTTCCTTTATGTCAAAGCCTGGTCTATGCATGTGTTTGTCACTGTGCCTATGCTTACATGTGAGTGTGTGTGTGTGTGTGTGTGTGCGTGTGTGTGTGTGTGTGTGCGTGTGTGTGTGTGTGTGTGTGTGTGTGTGTGTGTGTGTGTGTGTGTGCCCCTTTTCCTCTCCCCTCTTGTTTTCGACCTCTGTGTCATGGCAGGGGGCATGGAAATGTGGAAATCCCTGTTTCAACAATGAGGTCATCCACGCCCCTGGCTGACACTCTCTCTCTCTCAATTCATCTCTTTGCAAGCATCACTGTAAATATTTCATTCACAGTAACATTCTTTACATCTTACATGTTTTAAGACCAAGTAATTAGGTGGTAGGCGATGTGTGTTTATCTGTAATTCATTTGCAGAAAGTCTGCTAAGGCAATAATCTGTTTGATCACTGCAGACTTATGGGAAGCATTCCAGCCCACACCCGACTTTTATTGAATTCTGCCTGATATGGTAAAAGGCTTGGTCAGCCACCATCTCATCTGAGATCAATACAAAGCATTCCCACCCATAAAACTGAGATTAAGTTTTTCTGCAATCGCTCGTGTGCACACTCACACACTCACACACAGTAAAGACACACCTAAGAACAGCATTGAAATATGTTGGCAGAGTCCACAGTTCTTCTCAGATCCAGGCCGCATGAACAAAAGCATCTATTTTCAAACTGTGTTGTTATTTCAGTGATCGCTGAAGTGATCGTAACCTGTTTTGCAGCAACAGGCCCTTTTCACAGCAGCCATTTTGACATGTCGTAGCAGGGAAAACACGAGTGAAAGTGATCAAATTAATTATGGTCCCGTTGTGTTTAGTGTGTCACAGCCATTCAAGGGAGCCAGCATGCACACGCAGGGCCCTGCCCCACCTAAATGGAACAGGGCCATAATTAATGTTATTAATTACACCCCTTGTTTACCCTGCTATCGCATGTCAAAAATGGTTTCTGTTAGAAGGGCCTATACATACATTTCTGCACATTTTTGGAAATACCTTTATTGGCATTCTTGCTGAGAGGAAGATGAGAAGATTGTTACCACGTTGTGCCCTAAATAGGAAGCTATAGCCCGGACACAGTTAGCTTAGCTTAGCACGAAGACTAAATAACAGGGGGAAACAGCTAGCCTGGCTCTGCCTGACAGTACAATAGCCGCCTACCAGCGCCTCTAAAGATTGCTCATCAGCACGTTGTATCTCGCATCCCCCCATTTCCAGTCTTCGTGCTAAGCTAAGCTAACCGGCTGCATGCGGTAGCTTCGCATTTGACCGACAACATGAAGGTGGTATCAATCTTCTCATCTCACTCTTGGAAGCAAATAAGCATATATCCCAACATATCAAACTATTCCTTGATGAATAAATTGGTACGTTTATTGACATGGCAGCAATATAGTTTGTATTTTCTTTGTGTTACAGCTCGGCCTTTTCAGCAGCTACACATGCTTTTTACACGTGCCCTTGACATATTCTCCCTATGTCAACATCCAAGGCTAACACCTCTCCTTGAGGATTACCCGCTCGACAAGCTTCAAAGCTGCCGGAGAAGAGAGGCGGTGTGACAAGAGCAAATGTTCCACTTCCTCTCACTCAAAACCCCAGTGTTTCCAGGCCATCTCTCTGCCGCCGCTTCTCCTCGGAGGCGCACACTTCTGTCAACATAAAAGTATCACCTCCCATCCCGAGCGCTTGAACTCTTGACTTTTCCCCACTTTCACCCCCTCGGTTAGAGCGGATGGAATGACGCTCCCATCCGGTCATTCTTCCAGCTGTCCCCCTGCTTTCCATTCTTTCCCCTTCCTCTGCCCCCCCCCCCCCCCTCCCTATTTTTTCTCCATCCCTTTACCCTCCTCTCTCATATCTTCTGCTTTCCTGAATTCCTCCCGTGTTCCCAATGGCCTGGCATGTTTCACACGTTCCCATCGCTGCGTCAAGGAATGTTTTCTTTCCCTCACCTGTTTTACAACAACACTTGCTATTTATTTAAGGTTCCTCTTTCTCGGTAAACCCTCCTACAGTTACATATAATATAATGCACTTCAAAACAATGATGTCACACGCACAAGCTCTCAGTGAATGGGTTAAAAGGGAGAAGGCTGGATGGACAGCTTTACAAGTCAGCACAATGGATGTATTTGCCCTCTGGAGGCCTAGAAATGCAAGTGCATGATCTGATTCAGACACTTCATTAGTGAAACAGAGCAATAGCCAATAATCATAATTCAATCAATCATAATTCATACTTTTATATTCTGCCAGAGGTGATTACGATTGATAACTCAAGTTTGAAATTTTCTTATTTTGCCAAAGAACACGTCCACAATCAGATCTTCAACTCTAAAGATTCTCCGTAAAGAAGTATGCTAGTGCAGCAGGAACAGCCATCAGCATATTCCATCATTTTCGACAACAAACGTGCCGCTGCAGGTCGCATTATCGCCTGAATGAGCTCCGTATCCAGGGTGAACCTTCCCGGAGTTGTTTGAAAAACCTCCAGCAGGAGGTGTGGCATTGCTGTAACCGTTGGCTCTTTGGCAAACTACCAGGATGGATTATCTTCAAACTAGTTTTTGAGTTCTGACCTGAAGTACCAACCCACACTGTATTTTATACCCAAAAAAATGGAGGAGATGGTTTATTCTGGGAGGGAACAACTTCTCACACACATTCTTAAGCACCTGGGTAGTTTCCTTAGTCTTGTTTCCTTGTCTTTGTTTTATTTCACCTCTACATCGTCCACAGTCCTCGTTGTTGCTGGCTTCATCCGCTGACTTAAAGAAGACGGTGACATGTCCCTCCCTGTCCTGCTCTGGCTTGCTCCAGGCAACATGTTTGTCCAAGCGCCTGCTTGATGTGGGGACAAGAATGCAACTGAAACACTCGAGAGGCAAAATGTATGAAGACTTTAATGATGGTTTCCCACACAGATGGCTTGGGTTGCAGGTAAACAGTCAGTGTGGAGGGCAAAAGAGGCGGAAGTGCAGTTTTGGAACCCATGGGCCTTCGTCAGACAATGATTTAGCTTTTTATTGGTTTAACATCAGGTATGCTGAGAACAGAAAATACCTAAATCAAATATATAGTTTCTATACCTCCAGTTGCCAGGTGAGGCCAAGACAATGACATACTTTAATATTTAGAAAAAAAGTCTTAACACAATAATCATATGCCATATGTACACGATAGTCTATTGTTTTTCCTTTTTTTTGTTAAACATGGAAAGTTCAACTCATCCACCTGCTTCCTCACACTTCACAGTCAGCTTTGTTCACTCCAGGTCATGTGATACCTGCAAGAGACACAACAAACTGGTTCCCTGATCAGTGTTTAAATGTGACCCCTGATGCTTGTGATTAGCCACAACAGCTCCGCACAGGTGGTCACGCCTATGATGATACGATGGATGCCCGGCAGTGTTTGATTTCCATAACCAGCTCAGACTGGATGTCTGGTCGCACAGTGGGAAGGAAGGCAGCAATGGTACCCTTTTGTCGCTAAATCAAAGGCCCCACACAGAGGGGAAAATGGCATGCTGGGACCAAAACAGATGGCGATGGATCTTTAAATGACCCTTTTTCACAGACCAGCGTGTGTCGAACACGCGCTCACTTAAAGGTGGCCTTGTATACTACTATAGGTGTGTGTTTGTGTGTGTGTTTCCGGTGGTTGTTTGATTTCTGTGATGCTATCAATTCTGAAGCTAATGGACCAATTTCCGAGGTGTTGAGCTTTATACACATAGAACGTGAGGAACATGTGTGTGTGTGTGTGCTTGTTTGTTTGTGCAAGTGTACATGCTTTCATGTGTCCAACGCCATCTATCTTCAAACCAACGGGCCAATCCTTCACTGCCAAAGGAGTTGTGGTGCACTTTGTTGATTGTAAAATCAATGCGAAGGCTCTCCTGGCCCGACGGTTCCCACAGCATGGATTTCTGCAAGGTGGCCACGTGCCTCCGAGCAAAACAGTTTGATTTCGCTGTTATTTCATTTATCACCTGTACTTCTCTCCACGCCATCGGCCATTTCCCCAGATGAATCTATCGAATAGAGGACATTTTATTATTCAGTGATATGTAATTTTTTTACATTTGAATGCCTTGGAGAACGAGCCTGCATGTTCAAACGCGCTGTCTAAAATGGCACGGAGCCAGTTCTGGAATCGTGCACTTCTAAGATAAGTGTCAGATTCCAAAGCTGAGTGCCTATCTGTTAGGCTCTGGAGGTGCGGAGTTGGGATTCTGCGAATGAGGGATTACTTCTGTGTACACCGGTTGTTGAGTTTAGGTGTGTTAGTCCTTTAAGGTCTTTGTCTACCACAAATGAACCCGGGGCTATCCGAGATGGATCGCTTCAATGCATGGCCACACTTTTACTCCTCTTTATTTCATTTGTGCATTCAGTAGAGACACAGGGCAAACATTCACAACACAT